AGGATGAGTTTCCCACTCCCCTGGTAGTAAAATATTTCACACATTTGTTTTTATATCCTTCCAAATTTTGCCGGAGAGTAACAATGAAAAGTATGTTCCACAGGGTGTTCCCATCAATAGACTTTTCTTATGCACTTATTTTCAATTCACAACTGGAGAGGCATTTCAAGATCTCCTAATCTATTTGTCATCGGAGCAATCCAAACTTCTCTGGCTTTATATTCTCCCAATACTAGATGGTAAAATTGGGAGGTTTTTCATTTGACTTTCAGATGTATTTTTGTGACATCAAAAAAAAAATAAAAATTGCAATTGATGGCAGTTGATGTACAAAACAACGCATCATAATGTTATGTCTGTTAATGGTAAGGAAATGCTGCAGTCTGCAGTATAACAACTTCAGTAGTTTCCCTTCTTTAGATTCAACTGCATCATCGTTAAGTAGGTATGTTGTATTAATTGTTGGAAATGGTTGGAAAAATTTCTGGATAAACCAGAATTTTTTCCTAACTTTGGTCAATTATTTAGGTGGGGCCCGTAAGCCAAATTTGGCGGGTCTAAGTGGTAACGCGTTTTATGCCGCGTTGTGATTCACGTGGTATATTTGGTTGCCCAAAACCATTATCGGGTGAATGGGAAATTGAAGCCAAAGTGAGCTCCATGGAAATAGAGTTTTGGTGGAAATTCCTTAAAGTTGGAAAATGGTTTGTCCCACATTGATTTGGTGGGAAGTTTTGAGTCGGTTTATAAAACATGGGATTGAACCCTAGGATGTGCCCCAAGGGGTACCCAAGTTTTGTAGAGAGAGAGGTTATGGCAAAATGGGCTAGACTCATTGGACCCAAAAATTACCAAAAATTACCACCTGCGCGCCGCTGGTTGGGCAAGCTGGGCACAGGTGCATGGTTGGGTTGGGCTTGTTCGGCCCAATACTCTAATCTTTTTGGAAATAAAATCTGTCCAACTGTTATCTGTTTGAATTTTAAACCCAATAGATTTAAATCTGTTTAATTCAAAACCAATAGCCACCACTGCATCTATAAATAGGCAGCCCTCATTTGATGTTTTCATTCATCAAATTCAAAAATTTCGTACTTCTCCTCTGCAAATTTATTCTTCATTTTGTTGCATTTAATTCTTGTGAGAAATGGTGTAAACACTAAGTGTGTTCGTTGAACAAATAAATTGTAGTGCTGCATTTATTTGTTGTTGATCATTTCATCCTGGGAGATAGACGTCCATATTCTGAAAGCACCGTGGAGAGGACGAATCTGTCTTATGGACATAGTGTCGAACACTGGACTTGATCAGAATAATATTCAAGATATTAATCACTACCCAAATAGAATTAATTAATTTAATTACAGTGAAGATTGTCCAATATTAATATCTAAAACATGTTCCATTATTGGCTTACATTCGCTTCTTATACAAGAAAGCAAGTCTGTCAGTGTTGAAGTAAATTGGGGTGTGAGGTTTAATGATCTGAAAGATGTTGGTATTTTGTAGAGACCCTAATTTTTGTAATTATCTTTAAATCCCTAACCTTGAGTTTATTTTAATAAAGCTCTTAAATTTTTGCTTAATTGCGTTTTAAACCGAAGAATCAGAAAGCATTGCAAATTAATCCAAGTAAACCCTAATTGATCTAAAAACCCTATTATTAATTAATGGACCCTATAATTATAGATTAATTACTTTAAAAATTTTAATTTTTGATAACGTTGTTTTCGCTCGGTTTCTCACCTTTCTTTGAGCTTTAAATTAACAGGACTTGAATTTATTATTTTAACTATTTTCTAATAATAGTATATTAATAATAAATATCAAGGTTTTATAAATTTAGACTTGGTCTCTATATACTTCTATTTTATTTCATTCCAAACCTTAATTGTAATATGTTATTAATTAATGTACTTGTGCCTATTATTTTATGTATATAAATACAAATATCTCCTATATACATATATATATATATATATATATGTATTTCTTGGAGTCTAAGTAGTTGGCCATATGATTGATGAAAGTGCCTTAGTGGCTTTGATGGACAACTTTGACAAATTGCACTTATGGAACTTAGTCCCTAAGAAACCTCCCAATCCTTTCTCTATATATATGCACACTTCTCCCCCTCATTTTACACATTTTCAGCCATGCACTAGAGGAGTAAGAGAGATTGATCTTGGAAGAGAGAGAGAGAGAGAGAGAAAAGAATTATGTTGAGTCTTGTACAATGAAGGTAATCCTACATCGCATCTTCTCTCAAGTTCTTTTACTACTTGTTTTTTCCCTCCTAATACATGCTATTTGCAAATATATCTTGTAGTCTAGGCCTGCATACTTGTATAAATGTATATTAATCAAGAAATAGTGTGCTTCTCCTTCTTTCTTAAATTTCCAATAGCAATTCTTTTAACTCTCTTGAATTTATTTTCCTATCAAAACTCCATAAAGTCAAAATCTGTTTTTATGGGGTAATATTTGGTATGTCTAGAGTATGTGATAATTTTGGTAGGACCCAACCTAAACAATTTTTCTAAGTTTGTTACTCACAGAACCAGAAAAATAGTCAACTTTCTCTATTTTTAGAAAACTCTAAAAAAATAATCTTGAGTCCACTTTTATGTCAAAATCTTAATCTTGCTGTTATATTTCAACTAAAATTTGTTTGAACTCAAGAGAGTAAGGGGTTTGAGAGAAAAATCGATTTGTGTAACAATTAATGAATCTAGATAGATCTTGGTAATTCTGAATTATCTTAAAATGTAAAATACCTATCCTATTTTTAAATTGAGTTTGAAACTAGACTTATTTATTTACAAACTCACATGAGGCCAGGTACATAGGGCCAATAAAAGTATTTTTTTCATAATTATTTTTAAACTGGTTCAAATTTGAAAATCTAGAAATTTGTGTTAATATACTCTTATTTGGTTTGCAACTCTTATGTCCTATATTTCTTGAATGCTTAAGTCTTGATACATAATCTATGATAAATTGTGAATTTGTTTTTACCATGCATAAATTACTTGTTGTTTAGTTTGGATTTGTAATTATCTTGACCATGCTATACTATAACCAAGAACATAATGCACTTAATGAAGGGGAAATCAAATGGAATGATAAAGAGTTGCGATCATTGTCGTAAATTTTATGAGATAATGCACAATGGATTCAAGAGTATGATATAGTGGAATGTATTCCATTTTGGTGAAATCATGCGCAAGTGTGTTTTCGAATCCTAACATGGCATGGGAGTATGATATAGTGGAATGTGGTAGTGAGGGTCTCACACAAGGAGAGTATCCCTAGAAGCCGTTCCCTTGGGGCAAACCGTGACGTCACCACTTGGGTATGTAACCTAGGTGCGTGGGCATCATTGGTAATTGTGCGGCAAGCGTCACACTGGTGGTTATGTGGTAAGCGACGCATTGATATTTGTATTAACTAAGAGAGAGCCAGAATTGCTTGTGGCCAATGTTAGTGGTTGGATAGGAATGACATTCCGCGGGGAGTTGCCTAGAATTAACTTAATTGACTGTTATTCTTGATAACTGAAATTTAATTATAAGCTCTGCTTAATTATTGCTTTCGCTGTACGATATGCCGTTATTTTACTTGTGTATTTGGAATGGGAAAAGGGACGGGGGGTGTGTACATATTTATTGGGCATTCTAAGCTCATGGCATTTTATGCCAGGTGAAGGTGAGTTTTATACCAAGGACGTAATTCCTGAAGGCTTTGAGAAACCATGGCTGTCCTAAAGATTGGATTTTTTATTTCCTATATTTTAGATAAACCTTTTTTATCAAGACACTAATCTATATTTAATGACTTGAAGAATTTTATCTAACTATTATTAATATTTTCTTTTAGTATAATTATTTATATTTTGTGCTTAATTATTTATATAATGTTGTTTATCCGCTAATCAAACCCTGGTGTGTTGTTATATTATATTACTGATATACCCGAAATTTGGGATGTCACATATTTTGAAAACACTATAAAAACATTTAACATTCTGCTCCCTGATTTTACTGAGTGAAAGTATTGATGCCTTATTATTCCAGTGTCAGCATTTTCTCATGAACCTATGGAAGGAGGTCTCATTGCATTTCGGTTATGGAATAATTTTGAATTTGTTGTGGTTATTTTAAAAAATTACTATTGTATTGAATAGATCATTGTTGTTGGTTAATTTTGATGTTTGTTTTCAATAGTTAGTGAAATATTTAAAATATTTTTTAAATAAAAAGATTATTACGTATGTGTATATGTATATATATATATTGTTTCAAGTATTTATTCAATACAAAAGCAAAAAGCAAAATAATAATAATAATAATATATATAATAGCAACCCGCAATTTTATTTTATATTGATATGAAATATTGTCAAACATTTAGAAACTAATTTTAATGGTCTCAAAAACCAAAACTTTTAGAAGCTAGTTTTAGTTGTCTCACAAACCAAAATTTTTTGCAACAACATAATTATGTCCTTAAAAGTTTATTATTTGATTTCTAACAAACTTTTAGAGAGAAATTTTAATTGTCTCAAAAAACAAAAATTTTTGTCACCACATTATTTGGTCCTTAAAAGTCTATTTATAGTTACAAATTCAAAAATTTGTCACTAAAAGCCAAATTTTTGACTTTTCCAAATAACCTATTATGGACTAAGCGCGCGAGAAGCTAAATTGTTTGGCTAAAGCGTTTAGTCACAAACGTTACTCTTTTAGAGACACTTTTACGGACGAAATGAATTTGTCCCTTAAAAGCCTATTTGTTATATATTGTGTCTGTCTTATAAATGAATATATTTCTCAATCCATAAGATAAGCAAAATGTGAGCATAGCAACTCACTAATGAAAAAAGAATAATGTTAGCAATGCCCAAAGTAACCAGGTACGAGAACAAAACTTACATTTCAAGATATGTATTCATGTATAGTATATTAGGTTCCCGCATCAATTAAAATCTAAATTACGACTTTTAGTCAAACAATTGTCTATAGATGCCAATTACCATATGTAGAAACAAAGCAAAACAAAAAAAAGCCATTCTTATGGCTTGACACATTCATATCAATCATTCCGCAAAAGAAAATGCCAACAAATGTGAATTGAAGTAACTAGACCAAGGAAGTTTTAACTTAAAACAGCTAAACAGAAACTGAAATTGTGAGCTTTTTTATATCATAAATGAGTTTACCACCATTATGCTAATGCTCTCTCTCTCTCTCTCTCTCACTCAATGTGGGCATGTGTGAATGGAAATGCAGTTCCTCCCATACCTGCTACAGCGTGTTGATTAACTAGCCTCCCCTGATCATCTGTGTATTAATTTCTCGAACAAGATTACCTTTTCCTTTTTGAATAACTTTACCAGCTACACCATCTTGATAAGAATTTGGTTTTCCTTCATGTTGAAATTCTGTGAATGGAGGACCACATTAACATAAACTCACAAGATATTTACCAAAATGATAGATCAAAGTAATAGTCAGAAAAGAAAATTCTGTACTCACGTGGTCGTCGAAAATAGATCTGATGCCCTTTGTTCGGAATTTTGCACCTACAACAAAGTTGACACTTGAAAGTCATACAGATGTGATAAGAGTTCCTCTCAATTTTTTTCTCCTTTCATTGTCTTTCTTCTTTTTCTTAGCACATATTCTCGACCCTAAATACATTTCCTTACTCTGTTTTTCCTCTAAACAAACAATTTGGCCCCCTTTTTTGTCAAAAAATATACAAAGCAAAGAATCAAAAGTAGATATCTCTCACATACGAAGTTCAAACAATTGCTTGGATTGAAAAGATACAATTATAGATTATCAGGGCATCAAACCACTCAACACTATACCTTCTACAATATTAATAGAAATTTAGATTAAATTAGCCTTTGAATTAAAGCAAATTGAGCTGGATACAAGGTTCTAACACCTTGCTTGGTATTGTGACGGCTTCTAAAGAAGTGATTTTGAGTGAAATGTTATGCGGAGACTAAAACTACACATCAAATGTTTTAAAGATGCAATCAAGCACACCCTAATGAAAAAAAAGGGCAGCAAAAATGCTTCCAAAGTAAATACACCGCAATACCAAACAGGGCCAAAATCACAGTCATGTTCGCCGATACAGTATAATAGGAGTTATGCAAATAGATTTGCAACACCAAAGATAGAAACATTGTTTTTGTCGCACAAAAAATGCTAAAGCTTCAAGCCATTAACCTGGCACAAATGAAGAAGAGGAACAAGATCAACAACTCTAAGACAAATTATAAGCTTGACTAGCTCAGATTCTTTCCTTCCTCCTTTCAAATTTTTTCTTCTTTTTCTCTTGTATCAGAACTAGCCATAACTAGAGCCATTCTACCGTCATACCACCATTATGACTTCACACATGAGCATTACACTAATTACAGTCTATGTCTACTATGGTAGACTATCAAGGGTACAACCTTGGCACAATTTTCATTTATCAACCATGATGTTACATAATGGTAGCAATTTTACAATCTTGGTCCCCAAGACTAGGGACAAAGGCACACTTAGGCCAAAGGGGGTCATGGCCACCCCCAACCCTTGGTGCATAGTGTACATCAAAGCTCAAAATTTTTATAAGGAATTTCCCCCTCCCCCCTCTGTAGACGTCCTCGAACGCCCCGGGAGGGTGAGTCCCGTTCTGTTCATTTGGGGTTACTACAGCTCAGGACTCTCAAATTGTCACAGTTCTAAATCTGAACCAAAGAGTCCAAATCTGGCAAATCGTTTTGAGAAAATAGATTTTGAAAGAAGTGCCAAACATGGACTGTTTTGCCAGATACAGAGTCGCCACCTAAATATTTTATTTTGGGGGAAATTTAGGAAACCCTGACTCGTTTGCCTAAGGCCACGTGTCCGTCATCACCAAAGTTGCCTCGGCTCGGGAACTTGGGTACGATTGGGGAAGGTCACTTCGTGAGCACCCCCGCTCGCCCGATCAAAGATCGGCCTCTACTAACCATGATATATATTTTTGAAAACTTTGTGTGTCCTTAATCCGGTTATTAGCCTAGGTTACTATGTGATGCACACAGCATACAAGTATAGACTGGATCGCCTGAATTGGAATAAAACATTTCATGTTTGTTTATTTGAAAATGGTTTGATGATGCTACCCGCAAGTAGGCTAAGACGTGGATTTGCCACCCTCGGGTGGGCTTAGAAAACATGATTATGCCACTATCTAGTGACTTAAAACTCGCAGTCAATGATTGGTTTCCAATCAATAAACCAACCGTTCACCCAGGCATTTCAAGGCGTTATATAAATAAGCAAATAGCCTCATGGTAGCAGTTGCTATTCATGGCAGGTTCAACTCACACGCATGCAGGATGCTTAAAGCATAAACTTCGTTACGGCTATCCAAGCCAACGAAGCTATTAGAATCATGCATGATCCTAATTATACAGAATGCCTTGCAGCACATGCAAATGCAACTATAGCGAGGGCTGCTATTCTAACATGGCATATGGATGCAACAGCTAATAAATATTCAACTTTTTGAAATTGAAAATTACAAATGCAGGTTTAGTAGTGATGCGCCCGAGGCCCGGCGCATGCAACAGTTATGAATGATGCAAACATGCTTTTCATACTGTATTGCTAATTGAAAAATGCCCTATCTAACATCATAAGCGGGTAAATAGAGGGAGAAGACGTGGGGTTGTGGAACATACATTCACAACACGCACTTATTACAGGTAATGCCCTTCGCGCAGGTGTCGATAAATTTATCAGGTCCGAATAAATATCAGTGCAAATTATTACAAAATTAATAAATTACATTAACTAGGTAAGCTATAACTAGCATGAGCTAGGGACTGCCTTGACTCCGTCCGGATGATGAATGGTGCATGCTCGGGTTGCCTTGCGGCGGAATCTACGGCGATGCCCCGGTTAGCCTCTGTTTGCTATTATTCTTGGAATGCGCCGCAGCCCCGGAAGATTGTTGATTCTTGATTTGCTACAACAGAGAAGGGAGAGGGGCATAGCAATGTATTTTCACAGATGTATGCTACCTCGATCCTCGTGCCATCAATCACGCATATCGATGCATGTGGTCGAGGAGTCAATTGCACAATCAAATGGAATGAATGCACATGAAACTCAACTAAACCTAACTCCATCATGGGTAATCCAGGTGTCGGTGACTGGGAATTGAGCCGTTCCGCGGCTCGAAGTAGAACGCCCCTCGTTTCCGTGCTCGGGGCTAAATCTCTTCTTTTTGTTTCGTCACTCGAAGTACGAAACTTTCCTCGTTTCCCGTGCTTGGGCTAACTCCTATCCCAAGCACAATGCAATATGCATGATATGCATGAATGCAACTAAGATACAACCTAACATGCACAATGCTACGGAATGGCATACACGATGTACGAGATAACATGGCATACACAATGCTGTGAATCGAAATGGCATACACAATGCATAATGGACTTACACCAACACAAGTGGACCTCAGCCACACTCACATAAGAGGTGATGCGATGAAAATGAGACAACTCGAGATGAGCGCACGCATGCACGCAAACCGAGGACCGATCCTAAGGCACAAAATGCCACTCTAACAAGACATGGCAAGGCATGAAATATGATATGGAAACATGCAAGTTTCAGCAGCAAAACATGACCCAAAACAGCCTCGAATCATAGGAATATGGCACCCGATGCATGAAATGATCCCGAAATGCAAGATTAAGCACATGAAATGACTTGTAGCTACATCAAGCATGCATTATTTGATCATGACATGTGAAGACAGAATCAAGGAAGCCCCAAAACAAGCATGTTTACAGTTTTAAGAAAGGCCAAACAGAAAACACAAATAGGACAAAACTAGCATGCAAAAATGGCCCTAAATGTGAGATAAAGAAGTGAGTCACAGCTGCAGACCTCAAACAGATGAGGGCCCTTCAACAATATTAAAGAGGGCCCCAAAATATGATATTTTACAGTTTACAACAAACCCCAAAAACCAACACAGGTATGGCTAAGCTCTCATGCAAGAAATGGGCCAAAATGAGGGACAAAGAAGCAGGTGGTGGTTTCTGGCCTCAAACACAAAGGGGCCCTTCAACAATGTTGAAGAGGGGCCCAAAATATTGCACTTTACAGTTGATAGCCGGACCCAAAATAGTATGCAAGAATGCTCAAAATGCTATGCAAAATAGGGCCAAAAAGAGAGATATAATACAAAGTATACAAACGATGCCTCAAACAATGAAAGACCCTTAATGAAACATAAAGAGGGGGTCAAAATAAGGTCACTTATAGTTCAGACCAGAACCCAAAGACAGAAGAATAAGAGGCTAACAAATCATGCAAAAATGGAGCCAAAAGAGAGATATAAAGGCAACTGATAAATGAAAGCCTCAAACAGCAATGAGCCCTTCAACAATGTTGAAGAATGGCTCAAAATAATCTACTTTTCAGTTCATAACAGAGCTCAAAACAGTTTATACATAGGCCAAAAATACTACACAAGAAGATGGCATACAAGGGAGATAATGAAGCAAGTGCAACAAGGAGACCTCAAACAGGTAAATACCCTTAAACAAACATGAAAAATAGCTCAAAATAAGTCTAGTTCCAGTTAGGGTCGGGGCCCAAAACAGCAAGCAAATATGACTTAGAAAGCATGCAAAATATGGACAAAAAAGAGGGAAATGGAACTTACCCTTGTAGACCAAACTTTAGGCAACTCTTGGCTTGAGTTTGGTGGCTCTTTAGCGCTGGAAAACAACTTCTAGCTGCTGGAATGGAAGATGGGGATGTGGTATTAGGTGGTGGTGTAGAGAAGGGTATTGGGCTTGAGAGGTTTTGAGCTTGGGAGTATGGAGAAAGAGAGATACAAAGCAAGAGCTTAGGGGGGATTTTTGGTAACCCTGATAACAGAGCTGGAGCCCCTGTTATATAGACAAAAAGGGGGGGAAAAGGGGAGGAAAAATGGAGGGAAAACAAACAAGCTTTCCCCCAAAAATGCACCCCCCGGGATACACAATCTGGGGGAAAAACAGATACACAGCTGTACTGTACTTGATGCAAGGAGCATGGCCGGCTGCTTATCTAGGTTGCAGGTGGCCGGCCGGCTACTTCCCATGGCCGGCCGGCCAAGGGTCAAAAGGTTCAATGAGAATTAGTGACCGGCCACCACAGAAAGAGGGCCTCCCATGTGTGTACAACACAACCCTGTGGTTAAACACTGGAAAAAGTGAACCAGAAGAGAGAACAACCCACTTTTCAAAGGGGTTCAAAAGGGTCAGAAAGGATTACTGGCCGGCCACCAAATATTGGTGGCCTCCCAAATGTGTACATCACAAATATGGGATTTAGGGTTCAAGAAAATGGCCCAAGGGTGTTCAACATTGGCTTTGAAGTGAAGAAAATCGGGCGGCAGAGGGCGATGAAGGGATAAAGTTGGCTGACAGAACAATTACTGGCCTCCCACCCTTCTACGGCCTTCTTAGCAATGAAACAAAGGTCCCTACCAAAAATGAACCAAAACCAATGCAGAATGAAGGTTCGG